TTTTTATGGCATGTGTGCTGTGGACATTGGGTGCATTTTCTCTATGCATAAAATACTCAAATGACATTTTTTCAGCATTATGCAACTGGAGCACACCTTCTGAAATTTTGGATCTCTCAATGTAATAATCTCAACTTTCTGAAAGAGACAAATCGTGGTTAACATCTCTGTCTTGACTTGTTCTTTGATAACACTGAATAATAAAGACACAATGGATTAAGAATAAGGGCTGATTCACATAGTTTTTCCAGTCCAATGTGCTACTTTTCATTATTTTTCAATGTAAATGTGCCTGACGGAAGTGCATGACCATTACTCGCATCTCACGTCTTTTGACATGATGCACACAAGCATTTTTAGACGCCATGTCAATTTTGTTAAACTTTTGCATTCAGTGTCACTCATCAGAATCAGTTCCAAAGCAGTGGACCAATCAGAAGAGGTGTGTGAAGTTTCTATTTACAGGGACTCAGTGGCTTTGTCCTGATAGCCTCATGGTCTATGCAAAACATTATAAACATGCAACATTTATAACTAATTTAAATCCCTTACTCATAATTGCGTGTTGTATACTAGAGTAGGTTGATCTGCTTCGTCCATATGTAGGCTTAAGCATTGGCATATCTTTGTTTACAAATCTATATTGGGTTTCCTCCCATCGTATCTACAGAATTACATTTGTAAACTGTCCTTTGCTTTGGCCTTCACTCACAGGATATTTATTTACTGTCTGTTCCTTAAGTGCGGACTGAGATGGGAAAAAAGACTTTTAAATATGCAGCACCTTTTGCATGGAATAATCTACAAACAAAGTTGCAGTTTAAAGAATTGATTTCACTAAATGCTTTTAAAAAGAGTATAAATTGTTTAGTAATTGAAACACAGTCTTGTAGATGTTTTGAATAGTTTGTTTGTCAATGTGGGATTCATGTAAACTGTCAAATTTTTTTTTTGTTTTGTTTACATGTGACATCTGTACTGCCTAATCTTTTAATCAGAGTGTGTCTTATGATACGGTTTTAATCACAGTGTGTCTTATGATAAGGTTATGATTAAAATAATCCTGAGCAATGCATCTCACAATTGTTGACTTGAAGATGGGTTTTATGTGAAGAGCTTCTAAGAATGCAGATTCTCAAAAAAATCAGAATTAAAAATAATTTAATAAAAGTGTACTTTATCTGCATTAAATATTTAGTTTGCCACTTTTTGAACATAAAATAAATTTAAAGTAAAAAAAAAAAATCTGCCAATGCAGTAAGACACTTTTTTATATCCAGTCTTATATCCAGATTCATAAGACAATCTACAGGTACTGAAGCAAGGTTAAAATTCCCAAAATGAAACCCCAAAATAAAAAATTCTGTCATTAATTACTCGCTGTCATGCTGTCCAATCCCTTTATTCATCTTTGGAACACAAAATAAGAATATGTTTTACTATTTCAAGTACAAAACCTGTAAAAAAAAAAAATGTAAATGCAAATTTGTTTGCCTTTGACTACCATATTATATCAAGGTGCATTTACTATGGGCAATACGACACCTGCGTGTTACACCACCGTCTCTAATGGCCATATGTTGTACTGCCCATAGTAAATAAACACTGACAACCTGACCAGGAAGAGAAGAAAGTTGTTTTTACAGTTTTTTTTGTGCACAAAAGTGATTACAGTTCAATAGGGAGTGTTTTTGGTTTCGTTTCTGGACGATTGCTGTCTCAACAATCTGATTTTATGTAGGACATGTTCCTTGGATATAATCTAAAATATTAATTTGTTATTAAATGAAATGATATTATATTATATTATATTATATTATATTATATTATATTATTTTATATTATATTATATTATATTATATTATATTATATTATATTATATTATAGCGACGCAGTGGCGCAATAAGTAGTGCTGTTGCCTCACAGCAAAAAGGTCGCTGGTTCGAGGCTCGGCTGGGTCCGTTGGTGTTTCTGTGTGGAGTTTGCATATTCTCCCTGCGTTTGCGTGGGTTTCCTCCGGGTGCTCCGGTTTCCCCCAAAGTCCAAAGACATACATTACAGGTCAATTAGGTATCCGCTGCGTAAATACGTGCTGGATAAGTTGATGGTTCATTCCACTGTGGCGACCCCGGATTAATAAAGGGACTACGCCAAAAAGAAAATGAATGAATATTATATTATATTATATTATATTATATTATATTATATTATATTATATTATATTATATTATATTATATTATATTGAACGTAGGTCTCAGGAAATTGGATTGACATGAGGATGAGTAATTAACCACAGTTTTTGGGTGAACTATCCCTTAAAGCATTGTTTTTTATGTAGATCTTTCATTTTAGAAGGTTTTCATTTCATTACTGGAACTCAAATCATTAAACACTAATTAAAAAACTGATTAAGAACTCGTTTGTTGCAGTTGTGTTGATTCATTTACGTACTTCCTTATGCATGATTAGTAAAAAAAAATCTGTTCTTTTCTCTCACAGCTACATCAGACGGGACGCGTCAGGGGCTGGAGAGCATGAGAGGAGGAGTTTGCGCTACACAGGGCATGAAGGTGGTGCTGAAAGTGGGACAGAGTGAGTAACACACACGCACACACACTCTTGGGAGCATATCGGCAGACAAAGCCAGAGGGTTGCTCACCTGAAACAGTTACGGATGCTGGATCTGCAGAAAGCGGAGGCTCAGTAAAGCGTTTCTCTCAGTGGCACACATGACCACACTCGTGACTAGTGGCTTTTGTTTACACACAACACACACTCTGTGTCGGCCTCTTGTTAGTTTACGTTATTAAACTCTGGAAAACAGTGGTAAGTGAATCCCAGCAGACTGTGGACACAACTCTTTGAGCCGTAACAGTACACCACAAACACACACACACACACTCGTGACTGTTTAGTTGTGTGTTTAGAGTTGTATATCAGTCATGCCTATCAAACTCTACTGCACAAAGGAAGATGATTCAATACAGCACAAAGGCTTTGAAACATTTTGTCGTTCTTTTCCCGTTTCTTTTGGCTGTGAATTCTTTTCTTTTTTTCCCCACAAACATTTATTGACTTTCCCTTAAAAATGCCTTTATGTTTCACTTTTTTCCTACTCTCGCTCTCTGTAGTTGTTATCTGCTTCGTGGCTGAAAGGTCACGTCTGTTTTGTTTGTCATCTAAATAAAAGCCGTTTCGGTTGGCCATATCTGATGAGATGCGTCTGCGCACACACAGGCTGTCATGGCATTTTGACAAGTGTGACAGCTCGCCATAAGCTCAGAGATGACCGTGTGTTTGTGTGAAATGTCTGTCTGCTGTCTGAAGTGTATGTAACCTCAGCAGTCGCACCTCAAAAGAAGCATTATATTATGAAAACATCTTGAAAATACCATATTCTATACGTTTGCATTTATTTGTGTGTGTTTCCTAAAGTTGTACACTTGTTGGACAGTTGCCCTATTGTTTAACCTCTCTTTTATTTATTTATTTATTTATTTTTATTTGCTAATATAGCTGTTAGACTTATACATATTATCTCCCTAATTATATGTGAAGATGTTTGTATATGATTTAGTGTTAACTAATTTAGCTTGACACCAAAAGCTTGAAAGTATTTTTTATTAGATTTTTTCATTTATTAATACGTTTTCCTTCAACTTAGTCTCTATCTCAGAGGTCATATCAGTGGAATGAACCGCCAACTATTCCAGCATATGTTTTTATGCAGCGTATGCCCTTCCAGCTGCATCCCAGTACTGGGAAACACCCATAAACTTTCATTCACACACACATACACTACAGCCAATTTAGCTTCTTCAATTGACCAATACCGCATGTCTTTGGACGGTGAGGGAAACTGGAGCAACTGGAGAAAACCCACATGAGCACGGGGAGAATATGCAAACTCCACGCAGAAATGCCAACTGACCCAGCTGGGACTAAATCGTGCAACTTTCTTGCTGTGAGGTGACAGAGCTAACCAACGAGCCACTGTGCCACCTAGGTGAATTGGGTAGGCTAAATTGTCTGTAGTGTATGAGTGTGTATGGATGTTTGCCAGAGATGGGTTGCAGCTGTAAGGGCATCCGCTGCACAAAACACATGCTGGATAAGTTGGCGGTTCATTCCGCTGTAGCAACCCCAGATTAATTAAGGGACTAAGGTCGGCACAATAGCCTAGTGGTTAGCGCGCCAACATATGGTGCAATAGCACGTCAGGGCGTCGCGAGTTCAAATCCCGGCTCAACGACATTTCCCTACCCCCTCTCTCTCTCTCCCACTTTGCTTCCTGTCTCAGTACTGTCCTATCTAATAATAAAGACAAAAAGGCCACAAAAAAAAATAAAAAATTAAGGGACAAAGCCAAAAAGAAAATGAATGAATTAATGAATTTCATTCTAATAAAATTTAAATTCATGCAAAAGATTGCTTAAATTATCTTTGCATCACTCCAGTTGCGACTTTAGACTTTTTTCCAGTTACATTTATTTAGAATAATATTTATTTAGAACAATAATTGTATAATAACAATAGTGCTGTTATTTACTTATAATTATATATAATTTTTTTGTTTTATAATATATATGTATAGTTTTTTTTTGAAAGAGGTGTGCCCCAGTAGAGCTTTAATGTCTAGCAACGCCTTTAATTGTTGCTCAGATATTACTGAAGCTCTCAATTATTAATAATAATTTATTGTCAACTCTGAAGTACATTTTTTCTTTGCTACTTGACATTGATTTGCAAAATGTGATACTTTTTGTATTCAAAATTCTTGAATGAATATAAGTTCAAAAGGAGAGGATTTATTTGAGCACTAAATCTTTTAAGACATGCACGCTCTTAATTACAGTTTTGATCCATTAAATGTGTCCTTGCTGAATGAAAGTATACATTTCTTGCTTTTCAAAACTAAAATACCATTTAGTATGTCTCACTACATTTTCCTCTGCTGAATGACCGATCATGAATCACAGTGCTGCATTGAAAAGCTCAGAATACAGACATGTATTTGTTATGCTGATATTGTATGCAGGTTAACCGAACCATTATTATTACTAAGCTCTTTCTCAATGGTTTGTCCACAGGTCCATATGGTCTGCCAGCCAAATCTCCAAAACCTGACTCCGCGGGCCGTATCAACAACCCAAACCCAGGTAAACACAGCTGCCTTCGGTATCACGAGGACACGGCTCGTCCCAAACACACACAACATTAATAAAAGAACAGAACTAACGAAAGGAACAGGGGAAGCGAGCGACAGATGGATGGAGAGAAACAGGCGTCTTGGCACTCGGGTTCTCTTTGATATATTCCACCCTTCTGTTTGTTCTCTCCTCCTCACGTTCCCTCGCTTTTCTCCTTCTTTTTCTCCATTTGGCGTCCTGCGTGGAGGCCCGGAGCTGCAGACTGCAGGCAGAATGCGGTGAGGGTAATGACCGCACGGGGAAAGATAAAGGATGAGAGGAGGAGAGAGCCGTCGTTTCGGAGACTTATTAATGCCATTAGTTTAGCGGCCGAGTTTAGTTGGTCCTGAGAGGAAGAAAGACAGTAAATGGGAGGGAGAGGAGGATGATTAGTGTAGGATGATGGAATGAGAAAATTACTCACACTCTTTGTTTGCACGGGTTTGACATTTGGGAGCGCGAGACTGGAGCCTTGTGTCTTGTGCTGCTTTTACTTTGACATTCAGAAACAAAATAATGCAGAACAAGGAGAGAAACAAGGAGACATTATCTATCTATCTATCTATCTATCTATCTATCTATCTATCTATCTATCTATCTATCTATCTATCTATCTATCTATCCATCCATCCATCCATCCATCCATCCATCCATCCATCCATCCATCCATCTGACTGTATGTCTCGTTCTATAGGTTATTATCCATCCATCCATCCATCCATCCATCCATCCATCCATCTGACTTTATGTCTCGTTCTATAGGTTATTATCCATCCATCCATCCATCCATCCATCCATATAGATACATATATAGATGGATGGATGGATGGATGGATTGTCAGATAGATTAAACCAAGAAGATATATTAATCCGAGATTTTATCCATCCATCCATCCATCCATCCATCCATCCATCCATCCATACATCCATCCGTCCATCGATTGAATGCTAAAATGATAGATAGATAGATAGATAGATAGATAGATAGATAGATAGATAGATAGATAGATAGATAGATAGATAGATAGATAGATAGATTCATTCATTCTTATCCATAGAATGCTTAAACGATAGATTGCTAGATAGACAGACAGACACGCAGAACGACAGGTAGACATAAAGAAACAACAGCAGCACACATCCATATATGTATCTGTTTATAGCATGATAGAATACTAAACAGATAGATAAACCGACATGACAAATTAAAGACCCACAGATGGACAGTTGATGGAGGGTGTAGGTGAGTTTGGGGGCTGCAGGTCATTATGAGCACAATAACACGGACAGTCAAAAAGACACGGAGCGAAGGAGGAGGTGGAGGAAAGGAGTGAGGGATGGAGAGACAAAACGAGAGGAATTGTGTCAAGAATAATGATGGGCCAATTGAGAGGGCCTGCAGACAGATCCCTGTATTTCCGATTATTCCCGCTCTCGGCAGGGGCTCTCATTGTCTCCCGTAGAGATCACAACTGCACACAGACACACACGGACACACACGGACTGAAACATCAGCCATGTCCTGCACTAAGCAAGCACAATGGTCATTTGTTCCATGACTTGTTTTAAATGTGTGTGTGTGTGTGTGTGTGTGTGTGTGTGTGTGTGTGTGTGTGAGTGTGTGTGTAATCAAACCCGTTGTACCATTCTAATCTGCGTTTCCCATTGCTAGTGAGCTTTAGTTTATCTTCTTAGGAAAAGTTCACACAAAAACTGAAAGTGAAGTGAAATATAAAAAGTGAGATCTTAAAACTGCTTGATGGATATCCCAAGTGATGTTTGATGGAGCAAGTACATTTTTTTTACAGTATTTCCTATCTTCTGAAGAAAGAATTTTATAAAAATGGGGGGTGGGGAGGGTTCTGCCCTGTAATAGTTGGGAAATTGTTTGCTCTGATCTGTATAATGTTAAATAACATTAAGAATTCAAAAATACATATAACCACCTCATAATAATGCATACTTGCGCCTAAAATATTAATTAATTGGTTTGAAACTGGCAAAGAATGCCAACAGACAGTGTAAGTGTTAACAAAACATGATTCTTTAAAAAATATGTTTGTAGGTGTCTGTAAAACTAGATGCATGTGTTCAATGAAAAATACAGACTGTGGAATGTATTTTTAACAGAAATATTGTGTAGATTGAATTTATGAACGTAAAATGTTAAAAACAGTAGATTACTGGCAACCATAGCTGCTGGTATTTTTCTGTAAAATCAAGAAAGAAAAAAAAAAACAGCAAAACGTTTTTTGTGTCACCATTGTGGAGTTTGTGTTCAAGCCCAAGATGAACTGAGAGCATCTGATGTTGTGCTGCATCTTCTGTTTAAATGTAACTTTGTAGTTACTAATGCAGTAAAAATCTGTTTGCTAATTGCAATCACACATGAACACATTAATGCATTTAATGACTTTACATTTTTGTGCACTAAACTATGATTTTGTGAACTAAACATCAGTTCATGAAATGCAAATATTTTCTGTAAATTTAAACAGGTCTATAAAACTTCCACATTTTTATCGAAAAATACCACAGCTGCTGGTATTTTTCTGTAAATCTAACAGATATTTTACACTATAAGAGTTTGCTAATTAACACTCTCTGAGTGTTGATAATGTTAATTCTTTCAAAAGTGTTATTTCACCACTTTTATAGTGGTTCCCATATATACTCAGAGGGATTGTTAATTTTAACTCTAAGGTAGTTTAATCTACTATCTAAAATTTGCAATGTAGTTTGTATTTTATTATACACTTGCTCACACATGGAAGAGTAAAAAAAAAAAAAAAACCTGCAGTATTTTACGGTCAACCCCTGATAAGTACAAGAAAGCAAACCTGTTTAATATCACACGTCATTGAGAACCACTCAATATCCCATAATAACAAGTTTGATTAATAAATTAGATGTAATCAAATAAATACTGTATATGAATTTGGTTCACTGAGGCATATTACCAAACATAACTGAAAAACTTGGCTTGTAAAATCTTTTAAAATGAATAAAAACTTCATACATGGGTTAATACTTTTGACAAGGCTGAAGTTTTAAACACAGCATAATTAAAGTTCAATTTAACTGAACTTTCTCTTTAAAAGCCTCTAAAGTCCACCTTTGAGAATGACCATGTGCTGGTTATCTAGCACATCTCTACTGCGGGGGTTTTGCACTTCCTCAGGTTCATCCTAAAAAGTCCAATCAAGCCACAGCGTTTAGATTGGCTTTCATTTCCCCAGCGAAATGCCTCCCACATGCCGTAATCCCGTTATGTAAAGATAAATGACTAATATAGCCTCATAGATCCCACATCTATTAAAGCGCTCTCTCAGCTGTTGTTCATAGACGGGGCTAAATACACCCTTCCAGTGTGTAAAGCTGCAGCACATAAAGCACAGCTCGTGTTTCGATGTGTTAAAAAAGTTATTTATTATGTTTTTTTATTACAGAAGAGAGCATTTAGAGCTGCTACTCCCCAGTGTGTCCTCTGAGTGTTTAACAGCTTTTAGGGTAAAAAAAAAAAAAAAAAACGATAAACAACTTCCAGCAGCTGTAAAAAAAAAAAAATTCTATATTAGGAATAATTCATGTTGTACTGTAGAGGCCTATTCACACAGAGGAAATATTCAGCATGGATATCCACTCAAAAAACAGGCCACTTCTATGAAACTATTTATATTGGACACAACACTTCATTTTAGAAGGTTTTTGCAGTTGACGTTCAGTATGAATAGAGCTTTTGTCTGGGATTTGTGTTGCTTTAACGTTTTGTTCTTGTTGCGAACAGCTCAAATCCAAATTCTCATCGGCTGATCTTTTTTTTTTTTTGGTTTCAACTCATCGGTCTGATGGTTGCGGTTCGCGTCTCCATTGCCAGACCACAGTGGCTGACCACAGGTTTACACTGCGTGTTTTACGCCCGTGCCAAAACGTACATGTTTGCGGAAACCCAATCCACCTTGACTCATTGTGATCTGAGTCACTGGTCAGCGAATTCAGAGAAAAGTCTGGCACTTCACAACATCCTCCAAACTTTATACCAATTTCTGACAGTTTGAGGGAACACGGCGGTCTTGGTCCGGTCTGATCTGTAAAGGACATGAGCAAGCCAATCAAAGGGTTAGATGACTGGATGGACGGATGGATGAATGGATGGATGGATGGATGGATGGATAGATGGATGGATAGATGGATGGATTGATAGCATAGATACTGATCTATCTATCTATCTATCTATCTATCTATCTATCTATCTATCTATCTATCTATCTATCTATCTATCTATCTATCTATCTATCTATCTATCTATCTATCTATCTATCTATCTATCTATCTATCTGTCTGTCTGTCTGTCTGTCTGTCTGTCTGTCTGTCTGTCTGTCTGTCTGTCTGTCAAACTATCTCATTTTAGCATTCAATGGATGGACGGATGGATGGACGGATGGATGGATGGGTGGATAGATAGATGGATGGATAAATAGATTAAATCTTGGATTAAAATATCTTCTGGTTTTAATCTATCTGACAATCCATCCATCCATCTTTATATGAATCTATATGGATGGATGGATGGATAATGACCTATAGAACGAGACATACAGTCAGATGGATGGATAGATGGATGGATCTTATGCCTGTGACAAAGCATACCTTTGCGGAAACTCAATCCACCTTGACTCATTGTGATCTGAGTCACTGGTCAGCGAGTTCAGAGAAAAGTCTGGCACTTTACAACATCCTCCAAACTTTATACCGATTTCTGACAGTTTGAGGGAACACGGCGGTCTATAATTGGTCCGGTCTGATCTGTAAAGGACATGAGCAAGCCAATCAAAGGGTTAGATGACTGGCCCCGTTTAATTTGTTCCATTTGATTGGTTAAAGTCATTAAGTAGCCCATCAGATGATGAGGTAGACGGAGGAAGGCGATGCTCGAGGGCAGGATGTGGCAGCGCTAATGAACCCGCTCCATCAGACTAATACTCATGTAAATGTCAGAGGGCACTTCTCGGAGTCTGCGCTCCAATACGGGAACAAGTTAAAGGTGGTCATCTCACTAATGGGTGTCATCACCATATGCGATCCAGAAAGTTTGCCTGAAACACGCTCTCAAAGTTTCCCTGACAAAATGCGCTGAACTTTAGAAACCTGTGCCCAGGCAAGGGGAGTCAATTTAGGGTGTTTATGTGAAATAATTTTGTGTTGAAGTTTATTCAAGGAAGTGTTATGTGACTCATTCTAGAATTTAAGAGGAGGAATAGCAAGCGGTTTGCAGAGTAATGTGATTCTTCTAACCTTAACTTTAAGCGAGAATGTGTGACTGCAATTTTTATATATTTTTAGCTTTTAAATTTCCCATTATGAAATTCTAGCCATAAATGTTGTTTTGTGTCAGAATGTGCTGTGAGAGAATACTGAATGTGATCATTTATTTGAAAAGAACAAAGCCTAACAATAAGATCTTAATTATTTATTATATGAACTAAGATAAATTAATTAGTTATGATGTTTAACTTCTTATTTTAGTTATTGATTACATTATTTAATGTCAACTGAAATTACATTTTGTAGTGTCTATACACACACACACACACACATATATATATATATATATATATATATATATATATATATATATATATATATATATATATATATATATATATATATATATATACATATATATATAAACAGCTTTTATTCTAGTCGAACAAAACATAAAACAAATAACACTTTCTCCAGAAGAAAAGATATTATCAGACATACTGTTTATATATATATATATATATATATATATATATATATATATATATATATATATATATATATTACAGGCCTCGAAATTGCGACCATTCTATGCGACCTCATAATATATTTGGGCGCATTAGTGCGACTGCAGATAATGGTTGTAGTGCGACCTGATTTAATTTTTTGTAAAAACGTGCTGAATCGGTCTTCCCTGCCGCTATATTGGTTCATATTAGCTGTCGTTCACTCAAGGTATTCCGCTGTCAGATGACAGGGAAGGAGCTTTTATGACCACGGGAAATGCAAACTGCTAAAGAGTAAAAACTTAAAGCACACAGGTTTGCAAACCCCACCTAAAGTTGAGGCGCAGATGAAAGCGATCATGACACGTCACTTGGTGAATAATGATCCGCCAGCTGAGATCAATCGAGTACGCGCTTCTTGGAGAAGGTGCCCGAATCTCCATGTGTTGCATTCACTGCGTGTTCAGCGCAAATGTCCGCCAAAAGTCAAATCTAATACTGTACATATCATCGCCAAAGGAGCTCGCCTTTAGTAATAAGTTTACACTGAAACTGCGGCTCATAACAAATACCGGTATTGCGCCGATGGTTAGCGCAAGAATCCTGCTCTGCCTGCTCATAAATTGGGTCGGCTGACTCGCCTGCTTTTCCACTAACACAGAAAAATGAAGATCCTGAGCTCAGACGGAACCTTTAAATTGACAAACTGAAACCAAAACTTTTAAAGAGTGATAGAAGTGAGACTTTACTTTCTTTCTTTTGTCTATTCTTTTTTTGAGGTGTTTATTATTTTTATATTTATTTACTGATGACTGCTTTGCAGCTTTCATCATTGAATTGAAGGATTTATTATAATCTTTTGTTTGTTTTGTAGCAGAAATATTATTTATTAAATTGATGTGCATATAAAAACAGCAGTACAAAATAAATATTCCTACTGCAATGCTTCTTTTTTGTTTGATGCAAACTATACAATTATTTTTCATAAAGTAACAGACTTTTTATAACAGATAACCTACATTCATGCACATTCAAGGCAGTATCATAATGAGAAATGGAATTCATTGTTACTATTATTGTCATTTTTTATCATCATTAATATTCTATGGCCTAATTATTCGACATTCATTTTGGAATTATTGCACACAAATATTAATGTCTTTGCAGCATTAGTTAGATAGTTGTTTCTGGTTTTTGTCAGTCCTATTAATGTTGTTTTAAAATACAATAAATCCCTTAAAAAACAATTTGCAGCGGTGCTCATTCATTTTTGGTGGGTGCTCCTAAATTTTTTCTGGTGCTCCTAAAATGTTTTTGGTGCTCCTAAATATTTGAAGTTGGGAGCACCGGTGCTACCAAGTAAAAAAGTTAATTTCGAGCCCTGTATTACTTAATACACCTTAAAGTTGCATTTATTTGTTCAAATAAACATATAATTTAAATATAGACATATTATTATAAAATATTATAGATCTTTTGATAAACAGAACATGTAAAAAATTGGAAACAGTTTTTAAAATAATATTATAAATGCCTTAACTGCTAATTTTGTTAAATTGAATGTGTCCTTGCTGAATTCAAAAAACAAAACAAAAAGCTTTTGACCTGTAATAAATGTTTAAAAGAAATCACCCAGATATCTAAAAAATGCCATTTTCTCAAAAAGAATTTTTATAATGGCCACCGTGTAAATTGATTAATTATATCCAAGTCAAAACAATAGAGTCTTTTTATATCTGTTGAACTGATCAAAATCTTCTCTCTGTTTTCCAGGTACTGGAAACAGCACCCATCCGCAAATTCCCCCTAGAGGTTCTGGTGGTGAAAACGGCCCCCTTCCTGCCTCCAACATCGCAGTTATCGCCGGTGCGGCTGGCGGTTCAGCATTCCTCCTGCTCGTCACTGCTGTGATCTGCGTGGTGTGCTACCGACGCCGACACGCCAAACATTCCGAATCGCACCATCCTCCCCTGTCCCTCTCCTCTCTGACCTCACCCAAACGGGGATGTGGCGGGGGCGTAGGGGGCGGCAACAACAACGGCTCAGAGCCTAGCGACATCATCATCCCACTGCGGACTTCTGACTCCGCCTACTGCCCGCACTACGAGAAAGTGAGCGGGGACTACGGCCATCCGGTCTACATCGTACAGGAGATGCCTCCTCAGAGTCCCGCCAACATCTATTATAAAGTATGAGAACCGGAGACCACCTTACTGAAAACATCTGCTATAACCACACCCACCTTAAACGACTACCTAAACCCCGCCTCCAAGCCCCGCCCCTCACCGTCTGCATCCCCGTAGATCAGATACCTTTACCTTCACACACATTTCTCCGATACGCTGACCACTCATGGTCGAGTGAGTCTGATTGTGTGTGCTATCGTTCCTCAAAACTTTCCCCTACTTTGGCCTTTTGTTGGAGAGAGGATGTCTTAATGTAAAGGTGTCCTCCTTTCTGACGTCCCACATGGGGAAAAGTTCAAAAATATACAAGACCTCCTGGAGGACTGAAAAAAAAATAACATTATCTCCTTTTTAGGGGGCGCTCTGGAGCACAAGCATCAAAACTTTTTTTCTGATGTATTTGCGAGACTCTTAAAAGACAAAAAAAAAATTCTGAACCTACGAAGACAACGCAGACTTTGGCTTCGAATGCTACATTTACTCACAAATAGCAGTCTAGTTTGTGTTAAACTCCTTCGGAAGGGGGAGGGGCCATTGATTCAGCCAATCGTCACACAGGGCTGCAGTCCCGTAATCTGAAACCCGTGTGTTGGATTGGTGGAGCTGTAGTGGCGTGGAGAATCTTGTATATTTTAATAACGTGTGTATTTTGTGAGTGTCTAGGATAAATATTCCAACATTGCTGGCGCGACCGGCATGTTTCAGTACAACTCGCAAGTGTTTTTGCGCGTGGATGAGTGAGTGTTTGAGTACAGTGTTAGTGTGAGCATGGGCGCGTGTGTTTGTTAGACTGTTTCAAAACCAAAACACAAAAATATGAGCGAACATCAAAAAGGTTTTTTTATTGCTTTCGACACATAGATTATAATTATATATGAATACTCAGTAAATAATTTTTAGATTTTTTTTCATGTAAAGTTACAGTTTGTTAGGCCTAATTTTTGTTCTCCTATTTTTTATGACATGCTGACCTTGTTTCATCCCCTTTTTTTGAGTTGTAAATTAATTTAATGCTTTCATTCTGTTGCGGAAAGCCAGTTTGTTTGGTTCCCCCTCGTTTTCCTCTTTCCCAGGAGTCTCTTCCGCTCTACACATATATTTTTATAGCTCCTTGTACTCTGATGTAGTTTTGAAGCTAGACCTCGTTTGTGAATGTGTTGAGGTAGAACAATCCGAGAAAGTTTTTTTTTATTATTATTATTTTTAAAAGACGCTTGGAAAAAAGGGAAAAAACCCGGGAAGGAGGGAAGAATTGGATGGGGGTGAAATAAAAAGAATTGTGAACACCGCCTGTTGAGAAAGCTAACGCACAAGCGAGGAAGCTTCTACAAAGACTGTGAAACTATGGAAGAATCACACATTAAAAGAAAAAACATATATGGGAGGGGGAGGTGGGGGAGAGGAGGAAAGTTAAAAATGCTTAAAGGAGAAATAGAGAAAGGGAGGGATGGAAGGGTTTTTAATAAACCTGTCTGAAAATGGTGGAAAAGGCAGGCCTGTTGGTCTTCTGAGGTAAAAAGAGACAGTTGAGGGAAAGAAAGGCATAGATGGACACACTGAATTACTCTTTTACAGACACACAGTGCTCTTTTTTGTTCACATCAAGTGAAGTGGAAATATTTCTAGACTCGTTGCAAATTCTTGAGTATCTGTGGACACGTCTCAATTTAATGTAGACGTTTACACACACACACATGCACACACACATACTGAGAGAACAACGACGGCCATGGCACACAGAAAAGCTCTCTTGTAAAGTGATTTTCACCTCACACACACATGTGCAGCTCCAAAACACAATCAAAAGCCATTCTGATTGGGCATACATGCTGGTTACCTCAACAAATGCCGTGATTAGCATTGTTCTTTCACATTCTCTTTCTCTCTTTTCTCTCTCTCTCTCTCTCTCTCTCACACACACACACACACACATATACACACACACAATCATGCAGCTTTGTAACTAGCTGTGTGTGTATTTCTCTGTTAGTGCCAATGAAATTGCTCTTTTAGGCCTGCAACACACTCTGTGCAAGTATGTGAATACAAATGCTTTTAGCTACATGTTATTGCTTCCTGAAACTGCTTTTTTTGTGCCAATGCAATGATTAGCATAAGATACATTAGTTAAAGTTAAAGTAGCATAAAAAGTACCATATTTACAGTGAAGCTATTATGACTAAAAGTGAATAATTTGTTCCTAAAAGTTATTTCGTTTTAGATACATCAATGTGGTCATTGTTTGTTGCATCTTATGTGTGCTAGTATGTTAGTAATATGCTAGCTGCTCTAAAAACAGCTAGACTTACCTCAGCAAACAATTTTGAGTTTAATTGGCATCTAATAGACATCTAAATGTAGACAGCCTGACTAAAACAAGACTAAACTTGGGCTGTCAGAGAATAGATATCGAAGAATAGCCCAAAACCAGACTAGATGTCAAATAGACACATTATACAGACTTTATAAGTGTAGTCATTCATTTCTGTTTATTTGATGACTAGTCTAGTTTTGGCCTATTCTTAGACGTCAGTTAGATTTTTACTGACAGACCAAATTTAGCCTTGTTTTAGCCAAGACAACCATTTTAGACGTCTATTAGACATCTTGAATGCAACGATTAGCATAAGATACATTAGGTAAAATTAAAGTAGCATAAAAAGTACCATCTTTACAGTGAATCTATTATGACTAAAAATATATTATTTGTTCCCAGAGTTTTTTTTAGCTAGTATGCTACTGATATGCTAGCTGTGCTGAAAACAGTTAGACTTACCCCAGCAAACAATTTTGTGTTTAATAGACGTCATCTAAACGTAGACAGCTTGGCTAAAACAAGGCTAAATTTGTCATTGAAAATCTAACAGACATCTAAGCATAGCTCAAAACTAAACTAGTGGTCAAATAGAAAGATTAGACAGACTTTATAAGTGTAGGCATTCATTTCTGGTTGTTTGATGACTAGTCTATTTTTGGCCTATTCTTAGATGTCTATTAGATTTTCACTGACAGCCCAGATTTAATCTTGTTTTCGCCAAGACGACTATGTTTCGACGTCTATTAGACATCTTTAATACAATGATTAGCATAAGATACATTAGATAACATTAAAGTGGCATTAAAACATCTTTATAGAGAATCTATTGTGACTAAAAATGTATTATTTGTCCTCAAAAGTTCTTTCGTTTTAGATACATCAACGTGGTCATTATTTATGTTGCATCTTATCTGTGCTAGTATACTACTGATATGCTAGCTGCGCTAAAAACAGTTAGACTTACCCCAGTAAACAATTTTGAGTTTAATAAGCATCTAATAAATATCTACGTAGACAGCTTGGCCACAAAACAAGGCTAAATGTGGGCTGTCAGTGAATAGACATCTAAGAATAGCCCAAAACCAAATAGTGGTCAAATAGACAGATTAGACAGACTTTTTATGTGTAGTCATTCCAATCTGCTTATTTGATGACTAGTCTAGTTTTGGCCTATTCTTAGACGTCTATTAGATTTTCACTGACAGCCCAAATTTAGACTTGTTTTAGCCAAGATGACTATGTTTAAATGTCTATTAGACATCTTTTAGAAAAAAAAAACATTTCTAAATGAACTAAAACAACAGAGCAGATTAGTAAAATCCTGCCCATGATTTAATTAAATAAAGGAAACCAATTTTAACAATATAGCATTTATTTTTAAGCATTAGCATCTGTGTTAGCATTCTTGCACAGAATATGGCCTCAGGAGTAAAAATTGTGTTCTGTTTCACTGCCATTGTCACAGTGTGTTTTGTATGCGTGTAAAAGAATGTTATCACTAAGAAATACGCCGCATACATGCACATAATAACAAGCCATTCACAGGCAAATACGTTGGTGGTCTTATTTTGCAGATGTGATTTGTGACTGACGCTGGGACTTGACCAATCTGTTACTGTTTTCTATCTGCCTAGGAAGCTTCAATATTTGTCTCTCAAAAGCATTTAGTTTCGTATCACTCTGGTGCATCAAGACTGTGAGGGTAAAAAAAAAGCGACATTGTTTTCCTGTCACATGGATGTTTTCTTCTTACACGCAGAGATTTGGATTTTGTTACTTCAATATCAAGTTGCCTAAAAATGTGGAGGTGTTACGTTCGTTCGGCACTGTTGTATTCGTGGGCTGTTTCATGCATATTTAAGCGTTCGATTTCTGTTCAAGTTCTGTTGCATTTACTAAAACAATCAGCGTAAGCCATGTCTCTGACCCTGTGCACATGGACTTGGATAGGTGTGTGTGCGTGCTGCTGTGCGAATGTCCCAAACACACATGGACATCGTTTAAAGACGGACCGACGAGATGGAGAGGAGCGTTTGAGTTCATGACACACAAGGAGACACAAACTCTCTCTCACCATCCTGCCTTTTTTAGGTCTCGTTTATGGAACATGGCCTCAGAAAGGTCCATCTTCTGTCTTTCACATCCAGCGGTTCTTTGTGCACTTGCTTTCGCCATGAGCGCTGGGACCAGTACTCTGTACGCAGACACATGCGGGGGGCGAATCACAAAGTGTGTATTTTTTTAGGGAACGCTTCAGTTGTGTGTACGTGTTTCTCTGTGCCAATAGCCAGCGGGTGGCGGCCACTTTAAAGACCTCCATTCCTCTCCAGTGATGTGTTCAGACGTTTGTAAAACACCATGTTTGTGTGTGATGTTTTCTTTTCTGTGTCCATCCTTCCATCTCCCCCCCATCACGATCCCTCTCTTGTTTTTCCCTCCTGCATACATGCCTTTAAAAGGGTTAAACAACTAATACATTCCTTTGAAGAAATGTTGATTAAAAAACACACAAAAAAACTTTACAATGCATTCTTGTTTTTCTTTTTTCACGTATACTTGTGTTTGTATGAATCTATTGAACGTCCAACTAAACCTTTTAATGCTCTTTATTTTTCGTTCCACTCTATCATCACTCGGGTTTTCTTGTTATTTCATCTACTCTGAGTAAACAGGCTTTTACGGTCACCATCCA